TTTGCCTCTTGCCGTCTTTCTCGTGGGTCTGCAACTGCTCTTGGCAGCTACAGCTGACGTCTTACTCTTCCAAAGTAAACAAAATAAAATCTCGTTGCCACATACTACAGCACAGAAGAATGTCAGGAAGTCTGGTCTGGCCTGGGGAAACACTAACAGACTCAACCACAACCAGGCAGCACCAGGGAGAGAAGGGATGGATGCCCATGGGAACTTCAAAGGAAAGGTTATGTGTGTAAGAAAATGATGGCTTCTTGTCTCTGCTGAGAGAGATCCTCTCCCCTCCAGCCATTTGGAAAAATCCACTGCAACTTCGGGTGCAGCAGCTGCTGGGTCCCCCACTGATGAACCAATCCTCTTAATCTGTTTGTAGAACTTGCCTTTTTTTAGATAAATGACTGCACTCCCCTCCCAATCTTCCAGCAGTTTTCCATGCTGTTAACTAATGAGCCCCACACAGTGCCCAGTGAGAGCTTGAAGCAAAGACAAGAGCTCAGATTGCACTAGGTATCCTCAAGAGCACATCTGGATTACCATCAGTGTAGCCCCTCTTTTTTTCCCCTCACTATAACCACGATGACTTGAATGAGCAGTATTTAAACGGCCGCAGAACAAGCACTGCCACGCCGTGCAAAGCCACTTTAGGAGAGGCTTCATCTGAAACCCTGTTTTGCACAGAGAATGGTGGTTAAGCATCTGGAAACGTGGATGGTTTGTTGTGCTGCAGCATCTGGCATGGGTTGGATGGAAACCTGGTGTGCAAGCTGCCACAGTACAGGCCTGACCACCTGGAAAGGAGCTGACGGACGGAAAATGGAAGAACTGTTAAAGAACCGAATGTATAACATTTTCTGTTGTCTCATAAGGCTTCCTACAGGAATGTGAATATGAAAAGGATTCAGAGTAGTCTTGTCTGCAACAGTCTGAGACATTTTGCACATCTAACATCTTCCCTGCACAATGGAAAAGCACGAAGGAGAGACTCTGAGCTGCTCAGCTCCAGAAATCACTCCACACAGCAGCAACCTCCGGGAAAACAGCCTCACAGCTGCTCTAAAGAATTCCAGCTGGTAACACATCCTCATGAGGAGCCATCTGCTAGCAAGAGTGCATCAATACTGTGCTGATATGCCTACAGACTCCACCTCACAGGCTACAGGTGCAAACAGCACAGCAGGCTTTTGCCATTCAAAAAGCTTACGTAGTCTCTGGCTTAAAAGATGTGCCTTCCCTGAAAGCTCCTAAGGGCTGGGGGAATAAATCTTCCAAAACAACATCTTCCTGGCTACATTTGGTGACAATAAATTAGTTTGTGCTCAAGAGCCCTTTTGTGCACCCTTTACATCCCACTTTTAGCCTGAGATGGGCCAGGAGTGAGATACGTGTGAAGTGGGCAGAGCTGCCGAGGACTAAACAACGCTCCTCTCCGCACATCTCTGCTCACCTGTGTTTGCCAACAAGCCACACACAGATGAAAGAGCAATGGCCACAGTGGACTTCAAGCACTCAGAAAAAGCCATTGTAAAAGGCTGGGAAGGAAAATGCCCTCCCAGCCTGTGTTTGGGGAAGCACGGTGAGAAGCTACACACACCACCCAAGAGGCAGCTGTTTGGGCATTCTTGTCTGTGTCACTAAAGAGATCTTTAAAGGGCAGAAGAGATCCCCACTCTGGATGAAGCCTTAAAATTTCTGCGTAAATATACTGAAGGAAGACATCAAACAGAACTTTCTTCATAAGTGCCTAGGTAAAAGCATGCTACTTTTGGGGATGGTACCTCTTATGAAATGGAAGCCAATGTCCTCCTGGCATCAGTGGCAGGCACAGAAACTCTTGCAGCTCTGAACATATTCCACACACATAGGCTCACATCTTTTCCTGGCTACATGCCCCAAAAGCAGGACTAGAGCACGAATCTTGCTGTCTCATTGGGTACAACCCACTGAGTCGGCTCAGTACCAACCTGTCATATAGGAAGGATGCCACTGGCACAGGTGGAAGGACCCACATATGTGGTTACTGGTTTCTGTTGTTGAATTCTGTTGGTATCCTACTTCCCTCTTGAAAGTGCTGGGCTAAGCCAGAAAAGTTAACGATGACAAAAATAAACCAGCTCTGTAGTCATCAAATCTCTTGCTAGGTAACCCCTGGGTACCCAGTGCCCCACAGCAGGAATGTCAGAATTTCCCATGCTGGCACAATAATCCGGGGACTGTTCCTGAAGGTTAGGGAAGTTTATTTTTACAACTTTGCACAGTGCCTACAAATCTATCAGCTGCACAACATCTGGTTCAGGCACTGCCCTTTGAATGGCTTTTCTGTTGGTGCAGTAATTAAAGGTATCCCAGGTGACACCTGATCCCTTATCAAGTTCATTAATTTAAGTGGAGTTATTTGGCTCTCTATTTTCTATACTTCATAATGTATTTCTAACCTTTAAAGTGACATAGGCAAGGACCAGATTGCAGGGGCACTTATTAACAGCCTATTAAAATATTTTATGGCCTTTAGTTTTACGTTGCCATAGGGAATCAAGTATTTTGCTGTTGTTAAACAGGCTCAGGATTTATGTTGCGAGAGCTTCACCACAGCCTAACTCAGAGTAATGCTAGGAAATGAGCTGGGAGAACAAACTCTCATTCAGCTCTCCATGTGCTGTAAAGCTGTCACATGCAGATGGCAGCAAGGGGCCCTCCAATGCAGGCCCTTGGTTCAGTTTGTTTTATTAAATAGAAACTGATACAACAAGATGCAAAGCTCTGGGACCTGGGTGCCTTTTCACTAACCCCATAGACCCACGGAGGGAAGCCTAGAAAGGATCCAAGTGGTCTCCTCTGAAATAACATGTTCTGTGGCTTTTTATTCCAGAGCTGCTGTAACACATCCACATTGTACAACTGACTTAGTGCCAATGGCTGCACAGGAAGACCACAATCTCCCCTGCAACAAAACGATGATCATATCTACAAGACAACTGTGATCTTATTGAAAAATTTTCTAGAGATTGCAAGCCCCTTGCTTCCCTAGGAAACTTCCCTCCAAGGTGAATTCCCCTCTCTGTTACCAGCTGCACTTCCTCCTAATTCAAGCACATCCAGCACTGAGACAACACATGTCTTGAATTTAGAGACTTAATGATGTCCTGCTTAGGTATTCAGATTACAATCAAGTCTGTTCTGAAATGCTTGGTTTGATAAACTTCCTAGGGTGAGTCTGGCATCTTCTCAAGTTTATGTTATGTTGCTCTTATTTTCTCAAGCATAAAAAGTAATTTGTAATGAAGCAACACATTTGGAAGAGTATCAGCAACATACTTAAAAGTATTTTAATTGCTTGTGTTTTCGAAACATTTTAATGAAGTCAAATCAGGAATAGACACTCATCTGCCAAAGAACCTATAAAATATTTTACAATGACATTATAATTGATGCAACTGGTTGTATAAATTCCTGGCATTTTAAACAAAGATACTAGATATTAGCTCAAGAAAATTATTCAGTAGGCATTTATTATTTCTGCTTTAATTATAAGGGTTTTGTTGTTTTTTTTTTCTTTCTAGTTTGTAATTTAAATGTCATACTGTAAGATGACTTTTGTGTGGGTAACCTTAAAGAGACTGTTCTCAGTGAGCAATCCCAAAGCACAAATGCATGACAAGTAGCCATATTAACAAATGTTATTAAATCTACCATGCCTTTAATGCCTCATCCAAGACCAAATGACAGACTATCTTTCTGGGATCAATCCTGGACATCCAGGAGGGACTGCAGCTCTAATTTCATTTTATAGCAGAGTGATGGCAGGAGAAATTGAGGCTCTCTGCAGAGCAGACTCCCCACGACCCAGGCAAACGAGGGCTCTGAGGATTTCTGAGCTCACTGGGGTCTCCTGCATTTGGGCATAGTCCAGTTCCCCTTCCTCCCAACCCTCAGGGGAGAAGCTGCACCGAGGAAACGAAAACTTCACCCAAAGGACCATGCCAGGTCATGGCACACCAATGGCACTGAAAGCCTTGCTGGCTAAGAATGTTTTCAGGGGGGGCCTGACCTGGTTTAAATTAAAGCTGTATCTGCAAGAGCAGCTCAGCAGTAAGCTCAGCCTTGCAACTGTGCATATCAGACATCTTCTAACGAGCTCCCCTTACACCTCTTTTCCCTTTCCCACCACAAAAGAGAGAGGAGAACCCACTTCAAGCCACGTTGCACCATACTCTCCTCTCCTGGATGAGCAGTAAAGCGCTGACTCCCAACAATTTCCTCCTCCTGAAGCTCGTTAGATGGTTTTATTAATTAGCAGGCTCCTAATCTTATCATGCACTGCACCTGAAATCTCACTTGTGTTTTTGAAGAGAGTAATTAAAGCCAGAGGTAGTTGAATAAACAGGCACTGACAGAGACTAATACTCTATCAATATAATGAAGCAGCTTGCTAGACATTAAGATGCCCAGGCTCAGATGTTAACCCAGTGCAAGGGCAAAACATGCTTGGGCTGGCAAGCACATCCACCTGCTGATGTGGGCACCCCCAGGTAAATCCTCGATAACTTTGCTGAAAGCAATCAGACTCTGGGGGAGAATTTGGGTCACGGAATCTGTCAGGGGCCAAAAGAAACAGAAAACGAGCAAGGCAGCTGCCCTCAGAGCACACAGAAGTAGTTTCAACACCTTCCCCGTAGAGACTGCGATAATTAGCTGGCAATTATTGGGCACAAATTTCTTTACATAGACTAGAAGGTTACCTGCTTCAAGGACAGAAAATGTAACTTTTCCTCCTTTATGCAAAACTGAATGGAAAATGCCAACAATGCAGCCAAATCCCAGTATAGTGCTTCATCATCAGCCACTTGGTATCTTTTAGAAACCACTCTGCAGTGCCATAGCCCAAGGTATTATCATCCCTGGTTAGCACTGCTGCTGGCAGAGCTGGTTTCCCTGTTTCGCTCCTCAGAGGAATGAGAGAATAAACAGCAAAAGACAGAAACAGGCAGAGAAAAACCACTTACTTGATATTGTCAAGACATCCAGATTCGGGTTTCAGTATGGCAGTATGATGAAACATTTTATAGAGAGCAATCCCAAGGAAGATGACATTAAGCTGCAATGGAGAGGGAAGTAAAAAAAAAAAATAGGATTATGTGACACAGCACAACATGATGGGGAAAAAGTCAGCTCCTTCTCTGTAACAGATGGGTTACTGTAAGAAATTAGCTCACAATACAGCTTTATAGTTACTGAATCACAGAAAATTTCTAAGCATTTTATAAGGTGACCTGGCCTGTAGATTACAGGACTGGTCTAAACCTTACCAGAGCTGTGGCACTGCTGATACAAGGCCAATTCTAACCTCAACTGTAGTGCTTCAAACAGCATTATGGAAAATTAAAAATACTTGCTGTAAGGGCTTTTCTGTGTCTGAGAGGTATACAGTCATGAAAAGTCACTCCAAGCATCTTACTTTGCCAGCCCCACTGTAATGGAGCAAAAAAAGCATCTTCTTCTGTGAACACACCTTTTAAACACATTGTAATGGGGCAGACAGGCAGGGAAATCACAACTGATGCTTAGCACAATGCAAAGTTGAAAAACAAAAAGAAAAAAGGGTTTGATTTGTTCTGTAAAAGATGGGATGGTGTTTCCATGCCTCAGTGCTCACAAGGCAGCCAATTCCTGGAAAGGAGTTTCCCAAAAGCCCAGTCTAGGATTTGAGACATAATCAAAAAGGGAAGATATCTTTTTATGAATGAATTGCTTAAGGGAAAAAAAAAACCCCAAGAGTTGTAGTTGGTGGCATGGCCCCCTTCCTGATGTGGAAGTCTGCTGAAATGGCTCCCAAGTTGCAGGAGAAGCAGAAGAAGCAGAGACAATGTCTGCATTGAAGTGAGAGTGCCTGGTTTTCTGTGCTAGCCAAACTGTAGTCTAGTCAAAACAAAGGATGGTTTATTTAAGCCATATTGTAGCGATTAAAGTATAAGAAAACTCCAGCTGTCTCTAAAGTTGGGTTCTCTACCTTGTTGCTGTGTTAGCCGATATGCTGGCAATGTGCTAAACATGAAGTCACACAAGTTTCAGCTTCTGCTGGTTAGGAAAAACCCTCATCAAACTTCTTTTCCAGTTTGGACTTTTTTTCATTCCCCCCTCACAGATTTCCCTTTTTTTTTTTTTTTTTTTTTTTTCCCTGGTTTCATTATCGATGCAAAACTCTGGAAATCAAAAAGGGTATGAGCAGTGAGTGGCATCAAAACAGTTTGGCACTTCTAAATGTCCAGTGGTAGAAACCAAACTCTGCAAGTGCCCATTCTGAAGCTCCCTGGTCCATTTTGATCAAGTATTTTGCAATGCCAAGAGCCTCTCATAATGAGGGTCTAATTGCTATGCCAGGTGGGGTCAAAGAAGAACATGCCTTCCTCAAATTAATCTGTGTAAATTAAAGATAAAGAGAAAAGGGACAGCAAAAAGTTTTATTTCTTGACCTGAGAGATGGAATAGTTAATTAGGAGTTCTTACCATAATTATCAAGGTCGCCGGTCCTATAAAGCTCCAAATGAAGTAGGTGTCAAGTCGGAGCCAACATCTGTAATGAAACACAGGGGAAAGAAGGCATTCAAGGACTGCACCCAGGACATACATCAAGAGTGAGCGACTGACAGAGAAGAATGTGAGCTGCAAAACACGCCGGTGGGAGACAGGAAATATTACATTGCTTGTTCATTTAAATGCTGAATTATGTGCCCAATTTCTGACAGCGCTATTGATGGAGTAAGATAATTACCTCTAGAGGAAGCAGGGAGAAAATGGCACAAGGCCTATTTGCTAAGGCTTTCTGCATCTGTTGGGAAAACTCCTTAAACCATGGGTGTTTTTAAGGAAAGGGTCTGATGAACATCCACAGAGCTGCTTCTTTGCTTTGTGCTCCTCTTTGCTCTCCAGCTCTGATGCCATGCAAGCTGTCTGTCAGCTGTCAAGCGAGATGACATTTCTCCAGCAAGTACATCAGAGAAACTTTGGTGCAAACAGGAAGCATGAATTGGATAACAGAAGGCTGAGGTTTAATTAGGTTCAGCAACTTCCCCTTTAAAGTGTTTTATTTCCCTGAACCTCCCGCGTGTTTTGTTTCCACCAATGTTTCCAGGGTTGCATATGGTCTGCGCTATCACAAGTTGATTCATGGCCTAAAACTAAATAATTAATCGCTTAATTTCAACCGCATTTAATACTCCCCACATTTTTTAAAGCCCCTGGGAAATTACATTTCCATTCCTAGTTCATTCCAGGCGACAGGAAGATAAAATGGAAGTGACTCGTTACAAGACAGACGAATGTAAATTCCAAGAAAGTTTCACACGATGTTTAAAATAATAATATCTTGTCGTCTTTGCAATGCTGCAAATCACAGCTCCGTTTATACACAAAGGACTGAGAGAGCATAAAACCACTCTTATACTAAACATCCGATGGAATTTCATGATTAGGCAAGTGACTGGAACTGCATATATGAATTTATCATGGTGGTGGAGACAGCAGTCCTCACAAATGGCAGCTCTAGTGTATGTGCCTAATATTTTTTCCCTTCCAATGGGCTTTGCAACAGGCAGAAAGGTCTGTGCCAGCAGCGGCCCCATGGAGAGATGATCAGCAGGAGATGCCTGATGAGAGAATAAAATATGTCCTCAACCTCTGTGACTGGGAGAAGCCAAAATATGAATAAATTAAAATATGCAGAGAAAACTTCTCATTTCCCTCCCTGACCACATAAATTTCAGGTCTCATCAGTGCTGGAGAGGTATTGATATATATACACACACACTCATAATGCTATTTGTCACAACTTAAAATACTGTCTCTTCCATGACTATCATTCCTGAACTGCCTCTGCAGCTGCTCATCCAGAATCTCCGTGTGATAGCATCAAAATCTCAATGCAAGGGGCAAACAGAGGCCTTCAGAGTGATTGCTGGTAAATCTTGTTTCCTCCATGGCTGCTGAACTTTAAGGTGATTTAGATGCAGCTGGTAATGGAACAACATGAGTGACTCAAAACTACTTGGGTCTGATTCCCTATAGGAGAAGGCTTATGCAATCATGACATCTGCGTATCACCCATAAAAACATCTGAAATGTCGCCCAATTGCAACTAGATTTGACAAAGGAATAGAGGTTTCAAGGATAATGAAGTCCCTGTAAAAAGTGCTCCCCCATTCCTAAGCAAGGATGTCCGCACAGCAGCAGCTCACATTTTTACGTGGCATTTCAGGCTTTATACCTACCCCATCCCCCTCAGGAAAAATGAGTAACTAGTGCTTATGCCTCAGCTGCTGCATATAAATCACAGAATACGCAGCCCCATCACTTTTCTCTACTGATAATGAGTGCTGGTGTGTGGGAGAGGACTCAGAGGGTTGTGGGGGTTTGATTTATTTTTTTAATGAAAATATTTTGAACCTTTTTTTTTTTGGACAGTTTAACATTCTAAACAACCCCCAGCCCCTGCTACCCAGGAGTTGGGAACACTGTATTTTAGTCATCATCAACTTGGTTTTCCTTCAGCATAAAGAGTGACCTGGCTCTTGGAAAGTCTGGGGAAGAGGAAATATTCTCTTTACTTTCTGAAGCATGGTGACCGCCCTACAGTCACATCTGGTGCAGCTGGTTTTGAATGCATATAGATTGGGACATGGGGAAAAACAGGGAAAGCTGAAATACAAAATGAGCAAAAAAGCTGTGCCAGGCTCAGCAAAGAAGAGCAAAGCAACTGGTTCCTTTTCAAGACAGCAAAAAGAACAAAATTTTCCACTTCCCTAAAATATCTTCTCTTCAGTTGTAGAAAACAACTGAGTGACATGAGATGGATGCTGCGGATGAGAAACTGCAGAGGAACCAGGTCCTGTCATCAGGGTAAGTGGGGGCCAGGCATGGAGCAAAAGGAGCCCTAGGAGAAATGGGTTCACCTAAGCTGGAGCACAGCTTGTGAAAAACAGGAGGTTTTTTTTAGGCCTCTCTGCACACTTCAAAGAATGCAATGTCATTTTTTATTTGTTTGAATAGAAAATTCGCCTTTCTATGAAACCGTGTATGATACTCAGCCTTGGGGGACTTAAAAAAAAGCTGAGGTTTTTGGTGGTCATCAGGAAGAGATGAAACTTTGAACCTGCTTAAGTCATACCTCATTAAAAATGCAAATCAAGACAAAAACATCAAAACACAGGCATCCCGCCAATTGCGTTGTGGAACTGTAAATTGCTAATCAGACAAGTACCACACTGAGCTTTTCTTGCCTTAGAAGACAAAAACCCACACGCACAATGAGCTGCATAAATGAGCTCCTCAAAACAAGGAAGCAATCAGGCAACTCACTTCCCAGAGTTGCTAATCTTGGGCTGCTGAGTTACTTGTGACCCTCCACGCGCAGCTGCGCTGTGAGCACGGACTTGCCACGTTAGGAGTTAAGGCTGCGCTGCCATTAAGCAAACGAGCTCCTTCAGGGCTCAGTGCAAGGCAAAGGAATATCAGGAAATGTGTGTATGTAGAGAATACTGCTCAAAACCCCATTGCTTCTTCTAGGAGTCACCCCAATGCATTCAGTTCTCGTGACAAGCTCTGTGGCGCTGCTCTCCTTTACTTTTTAATTTCCTCCTTTTCCACAGTGGCGACTCGCAATATTCACCTAAAGCTTTGCCCAAGTAATAAAGACTACAAAGAGTTTACTCTATTTTCTGCATGAAGAGAAATCAAATACTAAACTATCCCTGGTGTGCATTAAATATAACCAATAAACAATCATTAGCTGCCATTGGACCATAAAATTTGAAGAGCCCTAAACATATCATGTTGTTCATGGGAGCTCAGCGGTTTGTTTCATGTGGCTGTACAGCCTCCTTGTCAGGGTGCAGTAATGGCATATGTATGCACCAGACATGCCTTTCAAGGGTGCAATATAGGTTCTGCTTAATGGAGTTCAGCATCCACATAGCTCACGCTTCCTCCTCCAAATACTGGCAGCAGCACTGCAAATAAAACAAGTTCGGTGGAGCCACCCAAGACAGACCACATTGTTAGAAGCTATTTTCTGAGCAGCATTTACATGCATGAAATGTCGGCGCCTGGCTGATGGACTCGGAGGCTGTGTACATACACAGGGCTTTCATTTTGCTTTCTGACAGCTGGATTGCTTACCGTGTATATCCTGCTTTATAGCATTCCAAAAGGGGGGAAGAAGGGGGGGAGAAACAAAAGAGAGATCCCTGCCATGATGGATTTGATCACCAGTGGATGAATATACCTACAAGTGCGCTTTCTAAAATATATTGAACCACTCAAAGCGTAGCTGCTTTCCTCTGCAATTTGTAAGAGGCTTTGATATGAAACCCAGGAAAGTATGGAAATATGGAATAGCTTCTTGCTGCTGATTTGGGATGGCCCGCTCCTAGCATGAATCCTCTTAAAGGCTAAAGCCATAATTGAGCTTTTGCTGAATTTTAGATGCAAGTTATTTTCAAACACTAACTACAAACGCAAATACTGTTTTCTATACTATTTTATTTTCATTTTGCAGCATTGTCCACCATGACCCCTGACATCATATCCATCAAAGAGATGGATGGATTGGACTAACACACAGGATAAGGCAATCATTATTTTTAATTTTTTTTTTTTAGTACAATGCCAGTATCTTCTTTTTTGCAGCAAAACTTCAGCTGTGGCCATTTAAGACCCAGCAGCTGAAGATATGGCCTGCAAGAAATGGTCACCTAGAAGTTCATGAAAGCATTGCCAGAATCTCTTTGGGAATGTGAGGGAACCACACTGTCTGCAGTGGGGCTTCCTGCTTTTCATCTTTACTTTAGAGGTTACAGTCAGAATAAGGTGAGATGCAACATTTCTAATTTATCTGACGGAAAGGACCAAACACAGTTGAGTTAGCCTGAATGGGATGATCTTTTAAGGGAATCACTATGCTGCTACTTAGTCATAAAACCAAATTAGTCTCCTAATGTAAGGGGTTTGAACTATTCTAAAGCAAACAAAAAAGAAAGTAGGAAAAGGATCAATCCCCATCCTTGAAATAATTAAGTGTACAAGAATATCTTTATGGAGCAGCTACTCCAAAATGCCAGTATGAATACTAGGACATGGGACACTTCAGAAAATCACAAGCACTAAATGATGAGTAAAGCAACAGAGGGAGGAATAACTGCATGTTCCTGGCTATGTAACCTAGGCATGTGTTACAGGAGGGTTGGATTTAGAAAGTAAAATGAAATCAAGAAACCCTACACTGCGTGTTTAAGCAAATCATTCTGAGACGTATGAATGGTGGCACCAACTGCCAGGCAAAAAACAAATAACACTAACAGCTCCATAAGTCCTGCTTAAGCAAATGCAGTAAATAATGGAGGGAGGCAAGTAATATATTCCAGAGGATGTTTTACAAAACCTGGCAAAACCAAGCAATTTCTTGCAATCAAATTATGTATGCCTGGCATATAGTTCACTACAAATTCTAATCAGTTCTACCCTTCTAATAACATTATACTGAAAAATACATCATCATCCATCAACCAGATGGAGCATGATAGTTATACAAAACATATTGTATGGTTTTTATTTTCCTCTATGAGAACGTGATAAAATTGTGCATTCTGGAATTAAAAATTATAAATAAATATTTTAGATTTGCAAATCTCTGTAAATATTTATTTGCAAAATATTATATATACATGTTTAATCATTAAAAATATCACTTCATGCTGTGGGGAGGGAGACATATTTTATTGGCACACACACAGGACTGCTGCCTCTTCAATGCCAAGATAGTGAAGTGTTCGTCTTCAGTGAATTTCAGCCGAACTTTCTGCGTGTACCTTCCATGCCGGGGAAACATTTGGGTGCCCAAGGTCTATTTGCAAAAGCCAAAGGATGAACAGTGTGGAAAGTGGCCCCAAAATACTACACTGAAAACTGGACAGGTTAGGACATGGCTCCAGCATGGAGCAGATGTGAAGGACTGACTTTCCAGACAGCTGGAGTATCTCTGAGTGCCTGATGTAGGCCACTGTGAAGAGATATGTCCTCCATAGAAACACCACAGTTAAGAATAAATTTGTCTAAAGGGAGAAGACGAGCTGTTTCCATACCTGATTCAATAGGTGCTTATATAATGCTCAAGAGGGGGAGTAAATACAAGAGCCTGTTGGGGCAGAAAGCAGGTGGCAACTGATGGGAAATCTTCAAAAATGGCAATCAGCTGTTGTGTTACTTATTCTTTGCCCTCTAGGCCTGTAAAAGTCAGTCAAACTACTTTGGATAAATTGGTAGAGATCCTTAAAAACTTACACCCTCCTACCCTTATCTGTGTGGGCCATTTCCTTTCCTTTCCACAACGCATGACATTTATACAAATTCAGGTCGCGGCTCTCCTACTCATGGGAGGAACACAACACAAATATCCATCTGGGATCCAAGCCCGCCTGCTGGCATGGTAATGGATCATGAGCAGCTCCACTGCTCCACAGATCTGTTTTTTCAAGAAATAGAGGTTCATATATCCTAGTAAGGTTTCAGGCAAAAAATCTGCAGTTGAACCTAACGTAAGATCAAATGCTGCCGTGGTCTCACCCGATCTATGCTAAAAAAGAGTTTCAGAACCACCACTGGCTCATTGCTATATATGCTTTCATATTGAGCCCTTAACTCAGTTAAAGTGAGACTGGAAAGGCAGACTGACAAGGGAAGGAAAAAAAAAGGTCAATGAAAACATTGTTAATCCTATTGTAGCAAAGATGGCAAAGAGAATCAAAGGCTCAATTTTCCCCTTGTTTTCCATTAGACGGTGTTGCATGATAATCTAACTTGTGCTTTCATACCAGCTTCAGCAATGTTGGAAACACTTAAGAATATTCATAATGATAAATGATATAGCTGTTCTGATTTGCAAAGAGCCTAATGTACTCCACAGTCACCACCCATTTTGCCTGCAGGCTCTGTTAGTTTGATAGAACACTTTAAAAGAGAGGAAGAAAGCAGTATCTTCATCCAAATAAGAAATAACTCTTTGCTTCAAGGAGGATATTGCTGCTATAGTACCAAACTGAGACTCGGGACAGTCACCTCTGCTGATCTTATGCAATGATGTGACAAAATTTTCCTTGACTGGCTTCCCTAGAAAATACCTTTGCAAATCATTTCATAGTGAGGAATTTGTCCTGCAAGGAACGCAGAGATAAAGCAAGGCATGCCTCCTGGCTGAGCTCCGCCTGAACAAACCCTCTGGGCTCCTCACATCCATTTGCTGCCCCCGCTCCCATCTCTCCTGAGCAGGTCCAAGCCATTCCAAGGTCACTCACACTTTGTCTGTGCCGTAGCTCCGGTAGTCCACCGCTGCCGACACGGCCACAATCAGCGCAGGCATGCCGTACCCCACCAAATAGAAATACTTCCTCCGGGAGTGCTCGCTCTCAAAAACCTCCACCAGCATGATGTAGAGCTGCACCCCCTCCAGGAACATCCAGGTGAAAGCTGCCAGGAAGAAGAAGTGCAGGAGGGCAGCAAAGACGGCACAGGCAATCTGTGTGAGGATTGAAAAGAGCAAGGGAAGCTGTTTGTACCATGATTAATTAATGCACCAGTCAGGAGTACTCTTACTTGGAGGCTTAATAAAAATGAGGGTGTTCTTATCTTCCCTCTCCAAAGGAAGAACCTTTTTTTCACTTGGAAAACGTGTGAATTTTTTTAAAATAGACACATATTTGCATATATAAATGATATTAAAGTATACAAAGGTAGGCACATACACAATCAGGCAAATAAACACATGAAGATGTACATGGTATAAGCTCATTTTTACAGCTTGCTTATTAAACACACACATTATTGACAAGAGCCTGTGACAGAAGCAGAAAGTGCTTTGCCTCTTACCGGCTGGTCAGTCCGGTTGATGCCAATGAGGAAGAGGAGCTCTGCCACGAAGAGGCTGATGCACAAGTTCTTGTGAATCGTGTTGCGGTCGCTCTGCAGCCCACGGAAGAAGCAGAAGGTGAAGATGCAGATCAGGAGGCAGACCAGTGAAAGCAGGATGCCAACCCACGTGATGAAGTCCAGGAGCAGGTCGTGGACTGCATCAGTGTGCTGAAGGTAAAACAAAAAAAATCTCATCAGCTGCATAATGCGTGACTTCTAATGCATCCCAGACACAGAGTAAGGGTGCCTGTGGCACAAGGCACCAGTATCAAAAAGATTAAATGGACCTAAACTTGAACCCTGCAGCAAGAAAGCTGCAACCTGAAACACAGACTCCAGGGCATCTTGCAAGGTGCAGGTGCCCTGAACAGACTCATAGCCCAAAACCCTGCAGAAACATAATGCTGTTGATGAAAATACTGAGATATCAGGGCTAGTCTTGCGTGCGGCTCAATCTTGCACAAGCATGGCAAAGGAGTGCCTGGACACACGGTATAAAGAACCATTGAACAGAATGATTCGAGTGTGAAAAAGCATTTCATGCTAACAACATCATGTCCAACAATTGCAAGTCCATTACAACCATTTGCCAGCAGTGAAAAAAGACTCTCTTTAAATGTTCAGAGATGTATGAGCATGGAGGCTTTGGAAAGAAAGAGATTGCTTACTTTTTTTTTTTTTTTTTTCTTTTTCCACAGGGGAAGGAGAAAGGAAGTTTGATTTTTCTTTTTCAAACCCTGGAGTTATATTTTAGAACTCCAGGGAAGTCAGATTGATTCCGAGAACATTACCCAGAAAAAAAAAAAGACAGAACTTTTAACACAAATTTGCTTTTAAACTGAAACAAAACAGTGATTTTAAGACAGCCTGGAAAGTGACTGATTCCCTGTGATGAACTTTTAACACGGATGTACTTCAAAGCCATGCAGAAAAAGCCAGTGCAAAGCTAGGCAACAAAGTTTTGTGAGAGGCAGGATAGGTGAGACTTGGCTCTGCTGCCAAAACACTGCTGTATTGCTCCTGAGTTTACACTGCATGCCCCTCCTGCAAAGAGGAGGCACATGATGAGACCCTCCTGGTGAGAGCATCCCACCACCTTCTTCCTTATTCAGGCTGTAAAACTCACCCATGACTCCCCAAGCTTCCACCAGATGCAGTGAAACTATAGATATCGTTACCTAGCAAAATGTAACTAACACACGAGAAACACACGGCGAGTCACGAGATGACTGCTTGGGTGTAAGTGGTTAGAGTCAATGAGCTGGGAAAAAGACTGGCTGGAAATCTCTGGGGGCATTTCACCAAGACCAGAGCAGCTTGAAGCCCAGCTTTGCGGTGCACCAGGTTGCGTTATAAATGATAATCACATTCTCCACCATTTCTGGCATTTCGATGACTTGGGCATTATGTAGGCTGGCAAATACAATAATGTCACACTTCAAAAAGCCAGGGCAAAGTGGAAACATTTTTCTCTCCGTGGGATAAAAGCTTATGACAGATGGAAAAGGTGATTAATTTATCCATTTTCTTTGCCTGCTTGCCAATGATAAAGCTACATCAAATGTCAGGCCTTTCCCGATACACTCTGCTATGTCGGCACCCACAAAAAACATCTCAAGCCTTTCAGGTCTTTGGCTTTACCAGCATGAGTGGCAGGCATCACAATGTAATGAAAAATTGGGAGTGATTCTCTGCTCCATCCCTTCCATGCTGGAAGTTTTGTCTCCAGCAAGACTTAGAGGTGGAGAGATGGAGGGCTTCTTTGCCCAAACCCCCTTGCATCTCTTCCCAACTATTTCCAGTACCTAAGGAACTAGAGGTCACAAGTCCAACACGGAGACAAGAAATCACTGTGTGCTTTCTGTGGCTCATGACAGAAATGCCTATTCCAGCCAGCTCATCCAGCAGCGCCCAGAAACCTGACAAGATGAAGCACATCATTTCCCTGGCAGCTGCGCATTGCTTTATCTCAGTGTCATTCCAGCTCATCCATCCCTCTTAACTCTGCGGAAAAATGTTAATGCAAACCTTGCACCTTGCAAATCATTCTTTCTTTTGTCTGAGGCTGCAGGGGAATGTCAGGAGAACATCCCCCTGAACAAACTGGTTAGATTGGCTTGCCAGTATGAATGGACCAAGAGCTCTTGGGCTGGGCAACAGGACTAGGCCTCTGATGCAGGTGGATGCAGGGCAAAAGAAACCAGGCAGACTGTGGCCCATGCACCCCACCCGGATGTGGCCATATTCATCCATACCAACACAAATTTAGCATAGTGCAGGGAAAATTCTCCAAGGGCTTCTTCCCCTAGGTGAGATAAGTCTCACAGCTCACAGCTCTTGCACCTCTTATCACAATACCAGAGTTCTGCTGAATTTAAGATATGATGCAGGAATTACAGGTGTTTTTGCACTTGGAGAGGGATCCTACCATCTAGGTTCTTTATCTTCTTCAGGGAAGGGCTGCTCACCCAAGAAACTCACCATGCTTAGCAAGAAACATGCTTCATTGATGTATTATTATTATTATCACTCTTACTGCTTTTCTTTTTAATATTAATCGTAAAGATAATACTGATTTTATGTACATAACACTCATCCCCGGAGCGCTGGGAAACAACCATAAAAACAACTTCTCCATAATTACAAACTCCCTCCCCAACCTCAACAAACTCACAGAAGAACAAACAGAAAGGAATAATAACAATAAACTGGGAACAAGAGCAATTTAAAAAAACCTCAGGGGAAAAAAAAAAATATGAATTTGTAGCTTTTCTAGTAAAGTCCGAGAGAAGAAGTGAGCTGAATTTTAAAGGCTGGGTACACTCCAGCCTGTTTGGGATGCCCAATTTCAGGTGCTACTGCAGAGCTAGTGGATCAGGGAAGACTTGCTAAGCGCTGGCATCCTTCCCACGGCAGTGCCAACTGCTCCCTCAGGGCAGGCACATCCAGAGCTTGTACACCAGCAAGTACAACAAAAGGCAACTTGCCTTTTGCTGGAGACTGAAACTTGTAAATTACTGCACTTTACAGCAATCAGAATAATATGGGAAAATGAACAATAGTGGTAACCTCTCCCAATGCCATGAGCTTTTCCTTGCCATCACCTGATCGCTGTGTGACAAACAAGGAGCAGCATAACCTGGTTTACACAGCTGCTATATGCAGTTCCAGGGTTATATACAATAAAGGGCACACCAAGATTTTGCATGTAGGTCTCAGCCTTCAAGCTGGTTTCTTAGCCACAGAAAAATGCAAGAAGAGCAAATCTTCTCTTTACCCTGTCCGGCACTGTTCAAAACTCCTCGACTGAGGATAAAACGGCTTGGATGTACACACTAACCACTGAATCACAGCATGGTGAAGGCTGGAAGGGACCACCAGTGGGGTTGACTGGACCACCCTGCTCAGGTCCAGCTGGACTCTGTGCCACTGATCACGACCCTCTGGGATCTGCTGTTCCCAGATGATCCCTAGGGATATCTTTCCAGCACAATGAAAGCCCTAGGGTCTTTAAAGCATGCAACATATATCTGAGACCACCAGTGTATCAACAGTCATCTCTTGCTTCTCAGTGATCTTCCCAAATACTTGGGCAACCAGAAGAGCCCATGAGAAATACCAGATGTCAGTCCAAGAGACAATTTCCCACCAGCATCAACCAAACAACTCCTTGCCCAAATGCACCATGGCTCTCCAGACGGGTGCTACATGGCACAGCATGCAGGACACAGAGTTTTGTTACCACTCAGCTACACTCACTTCGCAGAATAAGCTGACACACAGATTATTTTTACTACAGGAACAACTTACTGAGTAATTAAAAAAAAAAGCCAACCAAAAAATAATACACTTCAGGGACAGGGTTTCTATAGAAAGTATGTTTTACATTTATGATTTAGGTATGAACCCAACCCAAAGCCCAGTGAAAGGAGATGTCTCTGGCTTTGGAATAAAGACCTGGTTTTGTTCCAGTGGAACCAAGAGGAGTAGGAGGAGAGTGCTGACAGGGATTTGCAAAGGAGGAGCTACAGGAGCATTGGTAGCAACCACAGCAGGATGCGCAGGCAGCCCCGATATTATCCAGGCTGGGAAAATCAATGAGCAGCTCTGGCAGTGCCTGTACACCAGAGCTGAGCTAATAAAAACAAATCCCAGGGAATGTCAGCTTACGACAGAATGGCTCTCCCTGAGATGAACAGCCATTTCCTCCCTTATTAAAAACATCAGCAGAAGAAAACAGCAGCCAAACCAAGCTGCCAGAAGCAAAGGACACATTCTTTTGCCTAATCTGTCCCTCCAGGAATGGAAGAAGTAATATCTTTGGGGGTGGAAGAATAAGCAAGCAGTAAATAAAAACACAGTGTCATCAACTAGCTCAAATATGATCGCTTGGTGCCTGGTGGGAGCTGGCAGAGTGCTGGGCTGGGCAGAGACCCAAGTGGGACAGGTTTGAACTTCTGTGCATTGCTGATGCTGCTTCTTGGATTTGTAGCTCTTTAGGGCCGTGTGGGGTCTCTCTACCCTTTTTCCCCCTGTCTCTGGTGGTGAGAGAGGATTTACTGCTATGACCTGGCTGTAATACTTTGTGGCTACGTGCAAAGGGCTACTGAAGAGGCAGATGGTTTTGTAGATGTGTCAAAAGCACCAGCTGGGTTACACAGACTGGGAGGAAACCCCAAGGATTCCTGAAGTGCATGCAAGCTGGCTGAAAGCATCACTGGCTGTGGCTATGAAGGCATGAGAGTCTTTAAGGGAGCTTTTCCCTTCCTGTGGCCAAGAAGAATATGAGCTGGGGGATCCCTCTGCTTTAGCATCCATCCTCTCCATCTTTCCTAAGGATGCACCAAGAGAGGCAGGCAGCTGTGCTCCACAGTGAACACCCATGGACCTGGTACACATCTGCTCTGGGCTCTGCGAATCACTGCCGTCATTGGCACCATCAGGTCCTAACCCATAAAGAGAGCAAAATTCCCACCTGAGGCCCATGTACAACATTACTGTCTTCTACCTTTGGCCATTCACAATAAGGCTGAGAACCCTGAGCATTCCTACAAGGTGGTTTAGTCACCTTTTCTCTCCTTGCCTTAGTCCACCAAGCTGCCTTCATATTCTGCATGGGCAACACAGACCATCTTCCTCTACTTCTCCCTTGCCCAGCAAGATGAAGGCCTCCTAGCAGAACTCTCCCTTAAACTTGTCACCAAAATGCAACAGCCCTCTAGCAACTGCCAGAAGCAGCAGCCATTCTAAGTCCTGGAAACCCCTGTGGCCAGAATAAAGCTGTATGGGGGCAGGTGTGCACAGAGAAATGGGCACAGACCTCACCATGTGTCACAGACACTACTGCACATACAGCACGTGCCAAGAGCCCACTGTTTCCACTGTACTCACCAACCCCTCTGCAACTGAGAGGCAGCTGAGGTGAGATTTGTGGAGAGGAGGTGAGTCTTAGGAATAATAATTGCATCCATCATCATGCTCTCTCATGCTGGCTAGATTTTGGAAGCTCTGATTGCTCACATGGCATCTCCAACCCAAGAAATGAGCTACGGCAGCTGTGTGAAACTCACTGTAGCCATCCACCCAGCCAAGCTGGCAGAAATGTGAGTTTCTGAGAAAACTTTCTTGCCAGTGTGAGCTATGACTTGCATATGAAGTTTAGAACACAGGATCAGCCTGCAGGAACTCCAGTTTACTCCTTTACTGCTTTAGGCAATGGACTGCTACATTCCACTTAGACTTCATATATTGTTATTCCTTTCTCTCCTTAGCTTGCCTTATGCTTCCACTCCCCAAATAATTAGCACAGTTAGCACCAATGTTTGTGGTAAAGAAAAACACCTGAAACTTTCCTATTAATTGCAACAGTCAAAACACCTTTCTTTTTTACCTCGTTTCTATTAGTATTTAAAAAAACAAGAGTAAGATCTGGCACTCACTACATACTGATAAGCAACATTTTTCTACCCTGGGGGTACCTTTGCTTATTCTGGTTTGGGTGGGTTTTTTAATTGCATTTTCCCACCAGCTCTGAACTTGTTTTCTGGCTGCATAATTTTCCCATGATACATTTAAGGTGCATCTGCTATAATTAGTATAACGCAAAGCACAAGCTTATGAAAAACAACTTGTAAATGTTGAATATTTCTACAGCAATTACATAGGTAGGATGGTTTATTTAACAATGGGCTTTGTTCCACAGCATGGGAGTCACCACATCTTTATAGACAGTGGCTGGAGGGAGACCTGCAGGTGAGGGTCCACTGCTCTTCCCAGAAGTTATGCATCCTGCACAGCCAAGTCTTGGTTTTGGACAATGTTATTTTACCCCAGTGTGTGAGTAAGAAACTCTGAACCCAGCTTATTTTAACGGGAAGAAAGCATCTTCAAATTAAATTCTCCTCTTAATCAGGTACTGTCCTAGTCAGACCAGAACTGATCCCAGCGACTTCTACTCTTCAAGCACACCGATAAATCCCTGCTGCCATGGTCAGCTGGTGGCATTTTCTGTCCCTTTGGACAAAGATATATTGCTTTTTCATGCTGGAGAGCCAGATGGCCATCAATCACCTCTCCTCAGTGGCACTACCTTCCAGCTCCACCTTGCCATGCACACTCTGCTAATAATTAATCTGTAGCCTGGAACTCACAGAGCAGCCACCGAGATCCCCTCTGGAGAACATGCTCTTGTGCCATGTTACCAGGCAGGAAGATCATTCATGAGCAGATGTGACACTTGTCAAATTGCTCCTGGTTTTTGATTAAGGAGCAGGACTATAATGTCTGCTCCCCATGTTGCCCAGTTTTCAGTCTTATTATGCAGGGTGCTGTGGATTCGCCTTACACCAAAGGTTGTTCCCCATGGATCCAAAAATTCAAACAACTGACGTCAGGAAACTACAAATCTCAATCACAGAAGGAAACTGTTTCTGTTGCCGAGCTCCCAGAATATTGTTAATTATTGTGTGTGCAACATTACTTTCTAGACATCCTGATCATTGCCAGAACACTGGTCTAAGAAGTCTTGCAGAAGCACACAACATCATCTCCCCAAGGATCATTCCACCTCCGAGAACACTAACGGGTCATGGAATGACAGAGGAATGCCTTTTTGAACCAGCCACGAGATAAGAAAATTATTCAAAAGCATATCCATAAGCAGTGAGCATGAGTCAATGAATGACAAAAACCCCCATTTGTTTCTAAACCTCCCCTTTTCCAAAGCAGCAGGTATTGTGCTGCCAAGTCTTTAAAATCAACTCATTACAATAGCATAAGGAATGTCATATTCCTTCTATGCCAAGAGCCACATGGTCAGCTCCACCATGGAGTGAGAGAGCACCACCAGGAAGAGCAAGGTGACAAGCAGCTGGCAGAACAAGTTGCAAACATTTGCATATTTATATCTGAAATATGTGTCTGTTATGTGGGAGGGAACCCTGCCCTGCCTCTGCCCTCAGGCCAGGATGATCACTGAAGTGGACATGCCAGGAAACTGTCCAGTTGTATCAGAGTCAACAAAGTGGAGCCAATTTGGCTCTCACAGCCATGGTACTTTGGCTGCAGCCAAATGATAAAACATGACCTGAAAGTCTTGAGGGCACTTGTTAACACCCAGAAACAGCCACTAGCTAATAGCACACTGGCTTTGCACTTGGGAAGCTCCCAGCTGCAGCTCTTTCCAACCTGCTGGATGAACATGGGCGGGGAAGGGGCCCACATACTTTTCCTGCAAGCTGAGATAATAGCAGGTCTACTTGTCTCACGAGGTTTGGATGGAAAGTGCAGGCAAGGCTGACCCGTTTGCAGTTTGAGAAGAGGCCTGTTGAGCTGTATCTGCACCAGGCAGTAGGGATCACCCCCATTCACACCAGTGCAGTGGATCACTATCTGCATTTCCCAGCTGCCACCTCTGACTTCAATGACTCAGGCGTATCTGTTAATTCCAGGTGGGTGATAATGAAACAAACACACATTTCTTATGAAAATTCAAGCAGTTGTAGGCAACTGGCAAAACCAGACCTGGACTGCAGAATGCCATTAACCTGTAAATATGTGCTTTGAATAGGCCTTTTCTTCAGGCATCTCCCAGGACAATACCACAAACATTTAATGGCATGTTTCCTGAACTAGGACAGACTCCTGCAGAATAAAGTGATTACTGCAACTTGCAGGAGCAACAGATATATCCTGCCCCTCTCAGGTGGACCCAGCTGTTGAGGGAAATGTGCTCCTACGCTCCCATTTATTTTTTTGCAGAGCTTTTGTCATGCATGATACTTATTTAATATGTATTTTATTGCAGCTCTTTACATTCCTCTTCAGATTATTAAGTGAAACAAAAATACACAAAGCAGTGACACTGGAAGACTATGTGAGAAAAAGTAGTTTTAAAACCGTAATAGCTTTTGTGGTTACGCTTGTCATGGAAGTGATTCTGAAAAGTTCTGCCTGCATGGAAGATGCCAGTTCCATACCTAGCTCAGAACTGTGGATTTTGCTGCTGTGCCAGGCACATGAAACAGAGACAGCACAATGAAGAAAATGACTAGGCCAAAATATTTTGGGCATCAGGGCCTTCTCTTCTTTCTCTGGCAGTTTAGACTGTTCTCAACCAAAGACAACCGAGGCAGCTCAGGAAATGGAGGACCATCTCAACCTGCTCTTGAGTAAAATCCCAAATGTGTGCTTCACTCCCAAAACCACTTGGGAGTTGTGGTGGGGAACCACTGTTCCACCCTGAGGAACATCTACCTTCAGACTAACTTCTTCAGCTCCAGTGGGGTTAGTCACGTGGAAAGCCAGAATTTACATCACAGACATAAATGCAGGCAAGGGAACCAGCTGGTTGTGTACTGGCCTCAAGCAGATGCCAGTCTATACAGAATGGTCTCAGAAGCTTCCCTCTCATGTGTCATACTCTGCATCTCTCTGTCACACAGTGAGATGCACACATAGTATTTCTCTCCATAGCTGGAATGAGGAGAACAGTTGGCTCCACACGTGCACCTCACACAAACACCTGTGGCAGTGTATCTGCAGCTGCTGCTAGCAGGACACCCAACCTGCACCCCACAAGGCAGACTGCACGCTTCTGTCCTTCCACCTCACAGCTCCCTGGTGGCACAGGGAGGACCCTGTCAGAAAGAACCCAGCCAGGAGATGCTCTGCACCAGTTAGCAAAGGATATGGCAACTGCTAATCCTGCTCACTCACCATCCCCACCTCAGAACTGCCCATGCTAAGAGCCTAAGACAGGCTTTGCATTGGTTGTGACTATTTTCTGTTTCACCATAGAGCAGAAAGAAGACTTTTACCAGATGGTTTCTACTTTCAGAGTTAGTGTCACACACTAACTTTTGTTAGTGGTAACAAAATAGTGCCACACATTGACCACACTTCTGGCCCAGTGCATTGGCAGCCTGGGAAGCTGGAATGCCTACCTTAACTTCCACATGTGCCATCAGGACTGCAAAGTTGGTGAGGTGGTTGCAGGAGCAGGTGGTGTGTGTCTTGTTAGTTGTCAGGAGGCGGCAGCCCTGGGTGGACCAATAGCCTGTCATGGTACGCTTCGTGTAGCTCCAGAATGAACAGTTTGGGTTAAAATTTTCTTCTGACTGCTGTAGGGAAGAAATTAATAAATGCAGTAACAATGATAGGCTCTCAGAGATTTCAAAAGGCACCACTGAGGCTCTTTGCAACTCTCACCCTTTAATTTTAGATAAATAATAAGCAGTGGTTTATACATCAAGTATTACTTGCCAATACCAGAGAAAGTTAGATTGTTGCTGCACTCTTTGCTAATGCAAACTTAGTTCTCTGTTCTTGATTAATTTCAGACATTGACTAAATCCAGCTCTTCAAAACCAGACTGCTTCATTTGCATTGCAGAGCAGAGAAATTAATTGCTTTAAGCAATCAACTTTTGCAACTACTGAGCTTGGCTAACAGGAAGACTAGCTGTCCTCTTTCACTGTAATTCCACTTTCCTCTAACATCTCCTGCCACCATGATAAAGTAATATTATGGTCTATTCGAATTTATTGGTAGTTGTTAATTACAGAATGATACCTGTCAGCAGCCGAGCAATAGGCATCAGCTCAAAGGAGACACTTTCTTTACTTCTATTAATGCAGTGTAAAAGAGATCTTCTCCATAAATAACACAAAGTGCAAAGGAACAAAAGTATAATTCAAAATCTAATCAAGGACTGCTGGGGGCCTCGAAGCAGCCAACTTTTACATCATTTCATTTCAGAAACTGAAAAAAAAAGAGAAGTGCTTTTTGAGCTCACACACCTTGATGTGCTTGACAGTAAACACCACAGGATCAGCCAGGTAAACCTTATTGCTGAACTCTTTATTTATTGCTGCCGTGATGACAGGGGAGTTGACAATGACGGAGTGATTGGTCGACATCGCTTCTGTTCCCAGCTTCATGCTGGCATTCTCCGTGGAGAGATAGGTGCCCAGATTGTTGTACAGCACAAAAGCCACCCTGATCTCACCTAGAGGAGAGGTAAGAGGTTAGATAGCTGGGTTGAAAAAGCCACTGTGGTGGCTTTTTGCTTTTTAGATTTTCAAATCTTTTCTCTTAACCAACTTCAAAACTGCTCTGAGAAAATGTGAAAGGACCAGGATGTGGCATATGAAAACCCACCTCTTGCCAATTACAGTGAGCAGCACCAAGAGGTGCAACAAGCAGTCCTTGGATAAGAAGGGAAGAGCTGCTTCTTCCAAAAGAAACTTTTATAAGCAAACAGCTGAGCAGAAGACAGACTGGGAAGGTGGGCTTATTTTTGGCATCAGTAGCTGTAACTGGCTTCAGAAAAAAAGAGGCCAGGTGGTCCATTTCCCACCTGACATCACTTTATTCTCCTGGATGTACCTGGGAACCATGTTTCAAGCTGACATGTTGCACAGATGCAGTATAAAACTATAATTTAGTCTGGTAATAAATTAAGACTATCTCAGAAAAGTGTAGGGACAAATCTGGGAGAAGAAATCAAAACCTTTCCAACACAATTCCAGTCTCACATGGCAGGTAAAACAAAATTTCAGAAATTTAATTTAAAAATATACTTATTCTCTTAATTTGCCAATCAGATAATCAGAAAAACACCATTAGAGAGCCTGCAGAAAACCAAGTCTACCAGCCAACTGTTTTTATCCAGCTTGCCTTCTGTTTTGCACATTATTTCACAGCCTATAAGTAAGAATGGAATGTGATTAGTTCGCTTTTATATGTGTTAGCTGTGGAGAGATACATTTTTGTTTCTATATGAATCACCACAGCATCTGAGGAAGGTGAGGCACTGATGACTCCAAAGGTTCCTCCCAACCTAAATCCTTTTATGATAATTTTATTTGTAGCTCTTTGGTGACCTCTGGGCATGTGTCAAGCTGGTGCAAATTGATGGGGCTCTGCTTTGAACAGAACTCCAGTGATACTGTGTTTAGAAAAATGAAACTTCCCTTTCATTGCTGCCAACAGATAGAGTAAAAGTCTTACCCTGTTGGGGTTCTGCTACACATCTTGAGTTTTAAACTGTCTCTAAAAGAAATACTTCTCCTCAAATCCTATGTGCAACCAAGCCAATAGCAAGACTTTCTTTCTGAACCACCGGACCAAAAGTCTAAAATTTTTGGAAATTTTAACACATCTGGTCTGGTTGTAATGCTGCCCTATCACTCCATGTTCTGTATTCTTTACACAGAGGAGGGTGGAGCACTGGCATGGGCTGCCCAGAGAAGCCAGGGATACCCCATCCCTGGAAGTGTTCAAGGAAGGCCAGGCTGGACAGGGCTTGAGCAACTTAATCTAGCGGAACGTGTCCCTTCTCATGGCAAGCGGGTTGGAACCAGATGATCTTAAAAGTCTCTTCCAACCCAAGCCATTCTATGATCCTGTGTTTTACCTGCAGTGACCAAAGCCCATATGTGAATGTGGTCCCCTGCACACAGATCAAATTTTAAAGGAACTCGGAAAAAGGAGCATGTTGGGCCCACCAGTAGAAGCCTGAGTTTAAAGTTGGTCTACAGTGAGGCCGTAGAGATCAACAAATGTGTCCGCTCAAACTCCTGATCTGGAAATAAATGGCTTAGCAGGATGAAGACAAATCACATACAACATCATCTAAAATTTATGCTGTATCAGGAGGTTCGTAAAATACAGAAAGGCACTAAAGATTTAGACTCCTAACAGTTAATCAGCCTTTTCTGCTCATGTTGGCTTATTAATATTTGCTACTATTGTTTCCTCCCTTGACTTTTTCAGATGTTTGCACGGTGCCCTGCTGTGAAGCGGTTTACTCAAACGAGCCTCTTATCCCATCTGAAGCCTCCTAGTGCAGACATCAAAAGTTAAAAGCACTTCTCTGGATTCAGCACTGGGCCCCAGAAGCCCCACAATTTAAGGATCTGATGCATTTTTACCATCACAAAATACTTTTGAAGGCTGTGAATCACTTAGCAATATAATACATTCCCAGTCAGCCAACGTAGCATGCAGTCAAGGGCATGAGCAAATGACGCTACCCGTTAATTTAAATATTAACATAGCAATTCCTACTTTACTTCTAATGGTTAAACACAAAACAGTGCCTAAGGCATGACTGCCTCATGAGGATGCTGTGGCCTGAGGTGCCAGACCTACCATTTCGACCATTCTGCTTCAAGGTATTTGCTGACAGCTGAATGGCGCTCCCATGGCCCATGTTCTGGGGAAACTTCAGATCTTCCAGATTCCCATCTGTGCTTAGTCTCGCAACTTCCAGCTCTGTGTGCAAGAGAGACAGACACTAAGTAAGAAATCTCTGCTGAAATAATCTTCAACACGGTATTTCAAAGCTACAAAATGGTGTTCCAGACCAGCTCAGAGGAGGGGAATCAACTTACAGTGCTGCATGCTAGAATGTGTTTGGGCTCCTATTTCTTTTTAAATCTTTGCCCTGAAGAAGCTTTAAATTTAATTAAAAAAAAAAAAAGTGCAAATAAATTCTGCTCTCTGTGGAAGACAAAAGACAACCAGTTCTTGTAAACATGAACCTCAGGATATTAAGGACAACGGTTAAAATGAAAATCTGAGAATACTAGTTCTTTGCCACTGGCGATTGGTACTTTCTGTAAATGTTATCAGTTCTCAGGATCTTCTATTCATGGAAATAGAAAGAAGAGTTGTTCTCATTTTACATATGCACAGTGGGAGTGCTGGTGCTTTCCATCATGCTTGTTTTTTAATTAAAATCAACAATCAGTTGAATAAAGACACAAATTTGTATGAAATGAAACACAATTGCTTTACGATGAACAATCCCCCTGTGAAGCAGTGCTCTCATTGCTCTAGCACAGATTATACCCTCAAAGCTGGGAGTAATAAAGGCAGGTCAGGAGCTCATTTTCCATGGGATTTCAAGGGTAGAGAGTTGCCTTATTCCTTTAGGCTCTTTTGGAAAGACTTTGAAGTCCTTCAGACAAAGGCCCAAGACATATCTAGCAAATTGCTCTCCAATTAATCTAGGGATCAAGACCAAAGCCGGGCTTCACAGCCTTTACTCTTCCACTGGCTGCTCTCGGTACTTGTGGGATTTGCCCCTTACGGATGTTGTCAGTGTTCTCCCGGACGATGTCTGTCTTCAGCAGGTTGTCAGCCAGCACGAAGGCACTGTCCTCCACCGTGTCCAGCAACTTGGTGGCCGCGCGCTGCTGCTCGCTCGCGTTCAGGTCCCTCCACGCGTTCAGAGCCTGAGGTTGCAGGAGGTTGTTCACCGTCTCCACCATGGCCTGCAAGGCAGAGGGATGGAGTGAGAAAAGGCTCCAGCAAACCTAAAGCATCAGAGACCTCTGACATATGCTTAGTCCCATCCTCCAAGCACATCAGTTTACAGGGGGATGACAGCATCTCCTTCCCCCACCCATCAGGGCAGCCTGCAATGGTGCAGGACAACTTTTATACCATCAGATGGGACAGGGAGGAAATACTGATTTTATTATAAATGCAGGCTGGGAATGGTGCTTTTCTGCTTCCATAATCATCAGCTCTGGGCTTGGAAAAAGAAGGAATTAGGGCAGGTGGGGAAGGAGGGGTAGGAGGAAGATGATGGTTAAGGAAACATGCAGGAAAAACCCATCTGCAGCACCAGAGCTCAAGAGTAGGGCTGGGGCACTCGAGGAAGGTATTTGTACCTGCAAAGGCTACGCTTCCTAAACCATTTCCCACCACATAACCCTCTGGCAGGCAGCCATGAAGACACAGAGATAGCTGAGTTACACCACTTCATCCAGAGCAGCAGCAGGTGCCCACAGAGATTTAGATAAGACACTACATTTCAAATCACTGCACTGAGGAAGGAGTCAGCTCTGCGGAAAGTCCCTCCTACAGTGCACCTTCTGCCCTGGGCTGCCACGCACAAAGAGCTCTCCCATGGATAACTTCCCACAGGTTAATCTGGATGCACACACAGGACCACACGAAACTGTACTGGTCTCATGACTGCAAAATTACTGCAGTAGAATTTAGCCAAACTGAAGGCTTTTCTCAACCTAAACCCTCTGCTTCGTTACTAACCAGAGCTGACTCAACCGCTTTTCAGCTAAGATTTTTTAATGAGACCAGCTGTACCAGTTGATAGAACTGATTGTGCAGAGGAAAAGGATAAAAAATAAGCTACTTTGATCATGCTTTCTTCAGCTGGTTAGGGTCTAGTCACCAGGTCTAGTCACAGAGAAACACCTCCACTGCCAGCTAATGCTGCCTGCAGAAACAACCTCCCCTTCAAGATGAAATTGCTGTTCATAATAATTTCCTTTATGCTGAGCACACAAGCATCAAACCCACACCTCTGCTCTGTGAGCTGACGACAGTCCCAGGGGACTTCAACATTTCCCAAGCCTGAAGTGTGCCCCATGGGCTCACTGTTGAGGGAATACTTCAGTATTTACTCCTGATACTGTTGCTAAACCCATGGGTGGAGAGGAGCTGTGGCACAGCCCATTCTCCAGCACAGCCCTCAGGAGGAGTGCTACAATGGCAATGGGCGGCACAGAGAGCACAGAGCATCCTGCCTCACTCACCAGTCATGGTCAGCTGCCAATGAGTAATGGAAGGATGCGATCACATCAAACTAGAATTTATTGCTACATCCACGTGACCTTAACAAATATATCAATTACAGCAAGGTTTGAGGAGAAGCAAAGACAGCTAGAACTGCCACCGCTGGTGCTTTTAATGCCAGCAACTTCCTTGAGTTTGCAAGGTTTCTCACATCATCATATTTCCTGTTGGGAGACTGCACCATAATTGGGCTCCTCTGACAGCACTAAGCTCCTACTTTCACAGTTACATTTATTCATGGTCAATTAACTCGTTTCTTCTTATGCCAGGCCTCTCCTATACCATAAACAGAATGCCTCACTCATTTGGTCTTAAGTGGAACTTGATAACCATAAATCAATTTTTTAAACTGATTATTAAACTGATTTTCCTGAATAGTCTAAAAATTATCTTAACACATTTGCTGCTGGTTATAATTAGTAGTCAAGCAGAAATGGAAAAAGCCATAGCATTTAAATCTGATATTCTTCTGTGTTTTAGAATTTGGAAGCCCGATCCCTGCCATTCTTAATAAAATTCTGTAGTATACTTTGGGAGTTTATCTCTTCACAGGCAAAAAAATAGGTGGTATTCTTTTCCAGTGGCCAAAAAGCTTGATTATTTTGTGGTGCAGCTTCTACACAACATGGTGTTTTGTTGTAAAGACCTTTTATGCCTGGAAAGCAGAAAATGAGGATTTTTATCCTCTTTCAATGTTATCACACAATGTGCCTTACCTCCATTTAGCTCAGCTCCTACCGATTCTTAAATTCTCTGCTAAAACAACATCCTCCATACTTTTATCAATATCTGAATGGTGATTCGAATATGTCTTTGCAGCAGATCCAGCTCCTGGCTCAGGACAGAAAGGTAATGTCTGTTCATCAGAATATGAAACAGATGCTGAAATATTTGTGTTACAGTGAAACATCTGCCGCAAAGACTTTCCCCCCAGAAAAAATATTTTATCTGATCCGTTCTTTCTTTTGTTTTAAATGTACACATATGTGTGCATGCAAGTTTGAGAGAGAAAACCAATTGAGCCTAACATACTGCTTCCTGCACCACGTGCAGTCCACACCCAGTGCTGAGCATCCATCCTCTTGAAGTGACTACCTGAAACCAGCCACTTCACATCACTTTGAGCCTGGGGTCAAACACAAAGGCTCCAGGAAGATTTCCAAGGACTCTGGGTCACGTCCTTATCACGTATCTGAACAAAGCTGGTAGACTGTCTTTGCTGGCATTACATCTGAGATTAATTTAGTCCCTAGCTTTTCCCAGAGGGTCATTCCCCTCACCTGTCTCAGTGCATTAATCAAGTGATCCCCATGTTATATTTCTGAGTGCAGCACTTCATTATGGCCGAGTGCTGTGGGCTGAAGCCAAGGAGATGAGGTGCTAATGAAATGTTTGCATTTTGGACAGGAGCTGAGGTAGGTGTTTAAATGAAACAAAACAGCTGTTATAGCAACAGTGCCTTGTGAGACAGAGATGCCAACTGGGAAAAGTTGGGCAGGGGAGTGGGAGTTGTGGGAAAGCAGGCACACATGACAAGGATAGACCTGTGTCTTTACATTTAAGCTGAGCCTTTGTGATTTACGTGGGTTTGGCAGCTGGTCCAATGACTTTGTGGTCTGACGAAGACCCAGCTTAGAAGAAACAGCTGTGCCAAACCTCCAGGAAAGCCTCTCAGTGACCAGCTGGAGGAGGGTTAGCCCTGAGAGAGAACCTTCAAAATGCAGAAGGCGTGGGACAGGTGTGCTTGGGAGCTGATGGCTTGATAGGTTTTATCTGAGAACCCTGGGGATAAAGGTGGGGACTTTCAGAGGGAGATAGGAAAGTTCTGACATAGTTTCATCCCACCCCACTTCTAGCCTTTAACATGCAGCCAAGTAGGGAGCCCAGATACTCTCTAGTTTCTCTGTCCACTAGAAATAGAAGAAACTACCCCAAGCATTATTCCCATTTTGCCCCAGATCACATGAGATTGTACCTATCCACAAAGAACTGAACATCTATTAAAGAATGCTGCATGACCTCACCTGAAGACCCTGTCCTTGCTTCCAAAGCTAAAGAACTACTTCTCTTGTGGTCTTCTTTTCTTTCTCTGTCTGATCCTTCTTCCAAATGCAGCTCAGCTGAGCTTCTTGCAAGATAAAAATGTGGGGCTTGGAGCCGAAGCATACCTCAACACCACGCACAGCACAGCACCAAACCAATGCTGTGGTTACTTGGACTTAATGACTAGACTGCACAAGTACACATGCACCAGGAGAAGGACAAAAGTAACTCAAATTAGATCAAGAGAAAGCTTTCATAAAGCAGAGCTTGCTTGTTTGTAGGCTAAGATCAAATGAAGGAAGAAGGGCATGACAGAAGGGAGCCAAGAAGGCAGACTTCCAATTTTTCTGTGCTGAGACACATAGCACAGCTTTATGCTCTCTGTGATATCAGGGTATCTATACATGCAAAGCCAAACCCTCTAATTACCAGCCTGTAAAGAGCAACCATTCTGGAGGTCACAGAATATTAGGCACAGTGGACCTTTCATGTCCCCAGCAATGACTACAATTGGACATCGAGGGAAGAGCAAGACCCTGCCGAGCACAAAAGACAAATGCCATGATGGCGATGCCTTTCATTATGTGGTTGTATAGAACCACAGATTGTATGTTCAATGCAAATAAATGTTAATAAATTGCAGAGGGAGGGTTCTCCCAAATAAGAGCATGTGCTCATGGTTTCTTGGTTCTATCCTGAGGTTACAAAAAGGAAACAAAATGTAAACCCTTGTTCTTAGACACTTACAAATTGGTATTAAAAGATGCATTGTAAAAAGGAAACTAATTAGAAGCCTTACAGTAATTACGCATTACTAAAAGGCCAGTTGTACATATCCCATTGATTTCCTTTGTGGCAGCTGCTACATTTCATTAAACTGAATTTTGCTTGTTAATTTATTTTTCTCTTCTCCCCCTCTAGAAATGTCTGTTCAGAGTACCTGGCTATGTGGCACAGAGTTTCAAACCTAGGAGTTTTGAACTTTGTATATATACAGTGATACCATATCACCACATGTGATATCTATTTATTTTTCTCTCACTATACAAACATCCAAGACACCACTCTTTGACAGAAACAGTTTTTGCAATGTATAATCTCTCTTTAACTGGGACTCAACACAGAAAATCACTAGGAGATGTTACAGGTACTCAGCTCATTGCCAAATCTGGCACCAGACAACAGAGTGCTATGGTGTTTAAGGACAGCAACCCTAACCTTAGAAAACCAGCGGCTCCCCTAAACTGAGGACCTCTTTAAACCTTTATTGTTCATTTTGGCCCCTTGTTGAGCAGCTGATGGAAGATCAAAAATCTCAACAGACCTACAGCTGGAGAAAATACTGCCTTATGGCAAGTGAATACCAGCAGGTCCTACAGGGAATATTGGTTGAATCCTTCAGTTGAGTAATTTTCAAATATGCAGTTTGTCTTTCCTTACAAAGGAGCATCTCAGGAAGAGACTGAACACACTGTACACTTTATTTAGCATGAAACTTACATCAAGGACTTACCTCCTATAGCACCTTTGGGAGGGTGAGGACAGTGGCACAGGGCAATCAAGTACCACTTCTCCAATGGCATCTCTAATTAAAACATCTGAATTTTATAACTTCTAAAGCCCTGTC